GGAAGAAGTCCAAAGGGTCTGAACAAAGGTGCCACCTCATGGCCCAGCTACCTGCATCTTGTGTGGAGATTCTTGGTCTAGTTCCAGTCTGGAAGCTCTGGGTTTTGTTTTTATGAAAAAGGCTCCATCCTGTCTCTGATTCAGGATCAAGGCAGGAGAGAATCTCCGCTTTGAAGTGGTCAGTGGTAGCAGCACAGAGGTAAAAACACAGAGAAAATCCTGGACAAGAATACAGCCATTCCCTCATTCAACAATCTTGACTATCAATTATATGCCAGGCAGAGTGCTAGGCTCTGGGGATGTCCAATAACCCCCTTGCCATCAGGAGACTTACATTTGAGTGAGGGAGACATATAAATATATTGGTGACTAAATACAATGGTAAAAGTATCAGGATGGGGAGTAATCAATTAGCACCATGTTGAAAGAGACAGTGGCCTATAAACAAAGAGAAAGATTCAGTCATTTATCTTTTATTTCTTATACAAATTTTCCCGGAAGCTAACCAGAGAGTAGACAAGGGAAGGCTTATCTTTATAGACATCTATTCTGTTCCCTCAGAGAAAGATTATGCCTGAAATCACCATACCCCACGTGGGCTGGAGCAGAGAACAAGGCTGGCTGACAATGCCTTGTGATTAGCCCGACTAGATTTGGTTCTCCCAAGGGTGGTTGGATGGCAACTCACCCACCTGCCTCAGCTCTGCCATTCTCAGGTGCCCCTATTCTCAGGCGATACCGATAGTACAGCTATGAGTCATTATCACGGGATGTTCTCCTACCGCCCTGGTCCCGCCAGATCAAACATAATGTCCACAGAGGCAATTGGCCATGGATCCCTGAGCCTTGTTTACCTTGAGAACTTGGCACAGTCACTGCAGCATATCCGTTATTGATTTACAGGCTGTGCCCAATGCAACTCTCTGGGCTCCATGTTGGCGTCCAGTTTCCTACTCCTCTGCCCCACCATCCCTCTTTGTTCCCAGCATTGCTCATCCAGGCGACATCTTTCTTGGCCCAGGAGATCCACCTTTGTGCAGTCTGTCTAACTTATTTTAAGCATTTATTTGGTGGCTGCTCTTAACCACGCTTAACCAAATGTTCTTCATAGCGGAATGCACAGGTGTGTAATTCACAGGCTCCTTGAACTTAGAGGGTTGGGGGGTGGAGTATTGCTGAAGATTGACAGTGGGTAGTTGAGTGTTTTCATCAGCAACCGCTGACCAATTCATCACCTCTGTTTCTCCCAAGTTTCATTCCTGCATCACTCTCCCTATGCCTATGCCCAGTCTAAGGGTGAAATGGGGTTCCCACAAGAGCAAGCAGCATGACTATTTTGGGGGCCTGCTAAAGATCACTCTCTCTTGGAGCTCTTGCCTTTGCCACCAAAAATCTCACGAATGCCCTGCAGCTGGGGGTCCACCGCAGGCTCCACTCCTCTCTAGAGCCTGACCACCCAAATGGCCTGGCACCTCGGAGATGTGTGCATGCCATGCTGGAGGAGGCTGGCTGTTCTGCATCTGCACTCCCATTCATTTCAAGGACTATAGCAGTTGCATCCTGAGTTTCTGCAAGAAACTTCCAGTCGTTTTCTGCTCAGCTCCAGCATCAGACTGGACAGAAGGGGAAAAACTAGTGGGGTTGGGCAGTGATGGCGCATTTCAGGATTAAGAAAGAGCACTAAAAAGTCTTCATCGTTTTCCTCTCTCATTTTTCTACCACATCTCCTCACTCCCTCATCTCTCCTTATTCTGCCTGCTTTCATGGTGAAGTAGTGTGGACAGTAGTGTTCCAAGCGCTAGGTATCTATCTTTGGGGGAGTCATCCTGGCTCCCCACCACAGACTTTTCATGAGGTCTCAGGCTCAGTGACTGAGCTGCTTCTTAGCTACAAAGTGGGGTGTGAGAAGCTGGGGTGAGATTCCAGTTGAGGAGCTGTTCTTGGTGGCAGCCCCCTTTCCTTGCACCATGTCCTGTACCCTCAGATGATGGCATGGGAGTCTTACCAGTCTGACACTATGAGTTTGCTTCAAATAGTGGGCACCTCCTGAATGGTTTCTCCTCTTCCCCTTCAGCTCCCTCACAGTCCATTCTCCCCACAGCAGCCAGGGTGATCCTTATACAACACCAACTGGATCATGTCCTTCCTCCTCTTAAGACTCATCAACGTTTTCTCTTTACTAAGAACAACATCCAAGCTCCTTACCAAAGCCCACAAGAGCATACCTGACCTGGCCCCTGCCTACCCTGACAAACTCACTTCCGATCCCTCTTCCCCTGTTCACTCCGATCCAGCCACACTGAGTATGTTCTGGTTTCACCAACACTTCACATTGCTCCCTTTCTTAGGGCCTCGGAACTTGCTCTTCCCTCTGTCTGCAATGCTTTCCCCAGAACTTTGGATAGCTGCCTCCTTCTCTTCGTTCAGGGCTCAGCCTGAATGCAGCTGAGCTGCTTCCTCAGAGCGGCTTTCCTCTGACCCTCCTGCATTTTCCCAGGCTTTCTGTCTCAGATTTGCTTGTGGATGCTGTCCCAGGATTCAAAGGGTAGCTTTAGGTCTGCCTGACAGCTAGACGTGGTGCTCTGGTCGGCAGGCCCCATGACAAGACAGGCTAAGTGACAACCCAGGAGAAGGTCATTCTGAAATCCCCTCCTATTTCCTGTTCTGAAATCCCCTCAGGCTAGGAGGAAGAGAAAGGTCCCTTCCTAGGTAGGGGGACCAACCACCCCAGTTTTCCTGGAACTGAGGTGTTTCATGGGTTATGGTATTTTTCAGATCTAAAACTGGGAAAGTCCCAGGAAAACTGGGATCAGTTGACCCCAGATGTCTTGATAAAGTGCAATAGTTGGTTTTAAATCTAATGGAATCACTTTTGTCCACTTGATCTTATTCTTTCTAGCTTTGCCCAGGTTGTAGAAGTTAGGTTCCAAAGAACAAATACTTTTTGCAATACCTTGTATGACTTTATATTGGAAGGATTCGATAGGGAATGCAATAAACACACACACACACAGCCTAAAAGCAAACAAGCCATACAGCCTGAACACTTAGCATGGCTCTGGTCCCTGCCCTTTGCACAGCATCTGCCATATGAACTTAATAAATATTTGATATGCTGTTGAACCAAGTTTAACCGAGTACATTATTGGATCACATTAAAAAAACCTCGGGGCCAGAAAATCTGAAGAAACTAGGCTGTTCTAGAAATTCTTCTCAGCAGGAAACAGAGAAAGACTGCATGCTCTAAATATAGCTGGTTACCATCACCTCGGGTGACCAAATTGATCCCTCACTAGACAGGATGGTCTGCCACCTGGTGGTAACTCTTAGCATTGCTCCCTGGTAAACACAATTCTTGTGTTGGGTGAATTTGTTGTGCACAGAATCATAGAAGGTAAGGGTTGGGAGACTCTCTATGCTGTGACTATATTGCCAACCACTAAAATAGAAAAACCTGACAAAGAATATTTTTAAGAGATTTGTGAAATTTTTTATATGAGAAATCTCACAATGGGGTAAGCGAAAGGAAAAAGAAAACTAAAATCTGTGTAATACTTAGGTGAGCTAGGCATTCTATACAGATTATTTCCCCTCACAACAACATTGGAATATGGATAGTATCATGTCTATTTTACAGACAATGAAATGGATACTCAGAGAGGTTAAGACATTTCTTTGAGATTAAACAAGAAAGGAAAGGGTAAGTCACAATTCTTCCAGGCTCCAAAGCATGAACTCAGGCTTTGCACTGCATTTTGCCAAATTTTTAACAGATTGCTTTTAAAAAAATTAACTTTATTGCAATATAGTTTACATACAATATAATTTATGTTTTAAACATTTTATCTTGAAATAATTATATATTCACAGGAAGTTGCAAAAATTTTACATTTTATATAACCACAGTGCAATATCAAAACCAGGAAACTGACATCGGTACAGTATATGTGTATGCTATTTTGTCACATGTGTAAATTCATGTAAACTTTACTGCAATCAAGAGACAGAACTGTTCCATCGCCACAAAGACCCTCTTTACTGTCACACTGTTTTACATTGGTCTCAGCTTATTGATAATGGTGCTATTGGTTAGAAATGCCTGATGCAGCATTATTTACAGTAGCCAAGACGTGGAAGCAGCCTAAGTGCCCATTAACAGATGATTGGATAAAGAAGATGAGGCATATATATACAATGGAATACTACTCAGCTGTAAGAAAGAACAAAATCGTCCCATTTGCAATAACAGGGACGGACCTTGAGGGAATTATGTTAAGTGAAATAAGCCAGATAGAGAAGGACAATCTCTATACGACTCCACTCATATGAGGAATTTAAAAATGTAGACAAAGAGAACAGATTAGTGGCTACCAGGAGAAAGGTGGGGTGAGGGGTGGGCACAAAGGGTCAAGGGGTGCACCTACAACACGACTGACAAACAATAATGTACAACTGAAAGTTCACAAGATTGTAACCTATCATTAACTTAATAAAAATTAAATTAATTAAAAGAAAAAAAAAGAAATGCCTGATGCAGTCACCTGGGCTTCTACTGCTTACGGTGAGCCCCTCTGGACATTTCCCCTTTCAGAAACAATGTTGTGGCTGGACAAGCCCTTGTGGTTCTTATTAGGATTGCAAGACATACCTCAGCAACAACCAACAGAGAACTTTAAAAACACAAGGTTGATTACTCACAGATCCTGGAGGGAACACAGCGTGCCCGGGCCACACAGCAACATTGCAGGTGGAGAGAAATAGGGCAGACCTGGGCTTCTGCCTTTATTGGGGTTGAGGGTGGGGTGCCTAGGGTTTCTCAGGTTCACTCTTTCAGGAATTAACGCATGGGAAGGGAAAAGCAGGATCACTCAAATGGTCAGTTATCTAGGTCACCCAGGGGTTCCTACAAGGGGCCCTTCATGCTTGGAAGGGCCTGGCTCTTTACCTAGTTGTGTAGCTGGCAACGTGTTTATTTGAGATGCATATCTTTGAAGTGGATGCCTTGGCAATCAAAAGTGTAATGTCAGGCAGTTACAATAAAAAAACTAATTACAATCAAAAAGGCTACACACCCCACCCCTCCCCCCTGTAACATTCCTAAACCCTGGCAACCATTAATCTGTTCTCCAGCTCTGTAATGTCATTTGACAAAGTTATTTCATTGCAATCATACAGTATGTGACCTTTCGAGATCGGCTTTTTCACTCAGCATAATGCCCTGAGGTGCCTCCAAGTTGTTTTGTGTATCAGTAGTTCTTTCTTTCACATCAGCTAATTTATGTGTTCTTTGCTGTGATTAAATGTTTTGAGCTTTTGAGCAGCTATAGAGAAAAATTTATTGGTGAATAAAGTGGCTAGTGACTGAGTAAGCAGCTTAAAAAAAAAAAAAAGATTGTAGTAGTTTGAGTGTGGGGTGATGGGAAGAGGCCTGGACTCGTATCATGTCTGCAAAGGAAGAGCTACAGGGAAGAGAGGGCCTAGATACTGAATCAGCAATGAGGGTGGAAACCGAACATGACTCCAGGTCTGCACACCTGAAGCCCAGCAGTCCAGCTGACTGACCAGGTATGGTGGGCACCCCCTCGCCCCGCCCCCACCTTCTCCTGTACCACAGGGACTGTTTGAGGAATGGGCCCTGGCATTCCCCATCCACATACCCATGTTGGTCCAATCAGAAGGGAAGCTCAGGAATTTTGTGGGGTGGTTGGCCAAAGGGAAGCCCTTCTCTCTCCCAAGATTCCGAAGAAGCAGCCTAGGAACTTTTGGTGCCCAACCTGGAGATGGTGGCCTGAGTATCAAGAGTAACGCACTCTGGATCAAACCTATCTTGAGGTTCATGCTGCCTTTGGACTTTCAAATCACAAGCTACACATTCGTTTTATGGGTTAAACCAGTTTGTGGTGAGTTTTCTGTTATTTACTATATAAACAGTCCCAAGTGATAGAAAAAAACAAAACAAAACGAGTAAAGGGAGAAGGGAGATCTCAGTCAACTCACATTTATAACTTCCACTAGAGCTGCAGTCCTCGCTATGACCATGACAAATAAAAATGGCAAGCAATAGGATATATTGGAGAATGTGAGGAAGCCATGTGGTATAAACCTAATTCGGCCTGACCTTGTCTTTCCAAAAGGGCCTGACCGAGGCCGTTGAACATGCATTGTATATCTGCTTTAGAGATTCCCTATGGCAAGAACAAAGGCCCTTGAGATAAAGGTGCAACTTCCCTCCCCCTCCCAACGTTGGCATCTCCTTAAGGATTAAGCATCTTTCCTTAGGCTAGAAACTGATTGCTGCGCTCACCTGTGACCGCCCAGCTCGAGACAATCGACTTGCCTCCTGCTACGCCTTCTGAGATAGCAGACCCACTACCTGCTGTGTCCATCAAGCGCTGTGCCGACAGGGCAATCCTGTGACTATTGTGGGAGGGACATTTCAATCATATGTGAAACACCCTGTTTGGGGGTATATAACCACTCTGTGCACCCCACTTCTTCGGTGCCCTTTCTTCCTTTGGGAAGAAAGGCCCCTGGGCCATGGTCCTCAGATTTCAGTTCAGAATAAACTCACCCAAATTTTCATTTACAGATTGGTTATGGATTATTTTCATCGACAACCACTAGAGAAAAAAAATCGTTCATTATTTTTTATTGATGAATCAGTTTCCATGGAATGGATATACCACAATTTGTTTAATCATTCACCCACTGAAGGACATTTTAGTTGTTTCCAGCTTTTATTATCACAAATAAAGCTTTTATGAACATTCATGCATAAGTTTTGTGTGGACATAATTGTCTATTTTTCTGGTCCGAATGTCCAGGAGTGCAATTACTGGGTCATATTGTAGTTGCATGTTTCTTTTTTAACTAAAGTAGTTTATCAAACCACTTTCCAGAGTGGTATGCTGTTTTACATTCCTACTTGCAATGTGAGAGAGATTCACTTTCTCCACATCCTTGCCAGCAATTGGTATTGTCGTCCATTTTTGTTTTAGTTGTTTTCATAGGTGTGAGTGTTATCTCAATGCGGTCTTAATTTGCACTTCCCTAACAGCTGGTGATGTTGACCATCTTTTCGTGCGCTTATTTGCCTTCAGTGCATCCTCTTCAGTTAAATGCCTTTTCATATCTTTTGCCTATTTTCTAATTGGACTGTTTGATTTTTGTTATCTTTATTTACTGTTAAGTTTTGAGATTCTTTACATTTTCTAGATGCACGTCCTTCCTCAGATCTGTGGTTTGCAAACCTTTTCTTCCAGTCCGTAGTTCTCAACATTAGCAGGGTCCTTCACAGAGCAACAGTTTTTAATTTTGATGAAGTCCAATTTACCAATTTTTCTTTTATGGATCATCTTTTCGGTGTTATGCTTAAGAGCTCTTTACCAAGCCCTGGGTCCTCAAAATTTTGCCCTGTGTAATCATGGTATTGTGATATAATAAGAAATACATTTTGGTCTTCACCCATGATTCCTCCTCCTGGCACACAGCTCTAAAAATCCTTGTAATTTTCTAAGTGATAAAAGCTATAAGAGTGTCTTTTGTTATAATTAGTTTTTGTTTCCAGCTCCTGAAATAGCTCCAGTGCATAAAGGTAAAAGGAGAGTCTTTTGTTATTTGTTACTAGCCTCTTTCAACCATTCCTGAGTTTTTGTTAATGAGCTGACTTTTGGAAAGCCCCTAAGGATGGAGGGCAGTGCTGGTTGCCAGGTTGCCAGGGGAACCAAGCCTGTGGTTAGAGTGTTGGAATTTTCAGCCCCACCTTTACCTCAGGAGAGGGGAGAGGGGCTGGAGATTGAATTTAATCACCAACGGCCAATGATTTAATCAATTATGCCCATGTAATGAAGGCTCCATTAAAGTCTCTAAAATAAGGGGTTTGGAAGCCTTCCAGGTTGGTGAACAACGTGCAGGTGCTGGGAGAATGGTGTCCCTGGAGAGGGCATGGACGCACCGAGCCCATTCCCGCATACCTTACCTTATGCATCTTTTACATCTGGATGTTCCTAAATTCTATCCTTTTATAGTAAACTGATAATGTACTAAGTAAACTATTTTTCTGAGGTCTGTGAACTGTTCTAGCAAATTATTGAACCCAAGGAAGGGGTTGTGGGAACCTCCCATTTCCAGCCAGTCAGTCAGAAGCTCAGGTGACAACCTGGGACTTGTGATTGGCATCTGAAGTGGGGACAGTCTTGTGGGACTGAGCCCTTAACCTGGGGGGTCTGTGTTAACTGTAGGTAAATAGTGTCAGAATTGAACTGAATCGTAGACACCCAGTTGATGTCTGCATAGAATCAGAGAATTGGTCAGTGTGGGGAAAAAAACCCACCTCTGATGTCAAAAGTAAAGTATTGAGAGTAGTAGTAGAGTAGAAAAGAATCAGGGATTTTCCTTTCAGTAACCTCCTAAAAATTTTTGGTTGTGCATTTTATGTTTAAATCTAAGAACCATTTTGAATTAATTTTTGTAGAAAGTGGGAGGTTTAAGTTGAGGTTCTTTTTTAATGTTTTTCTTTTTGCTTAGGGTTATCTGTGGTAGGCTGAATAATGGCCCCTCAAAGATATCCACATCCTAATATCTGGAACCTGTGAATGTCACCTTGTATGGCCACAGGGATTTTGTAGATGTGATTAAGTCAAGCTTCTTGAGATGGGGCCATTATCCCGCATTATCCATGTGGGCCAGGGGTAATCACAAAGCTGCTAGTAAAAGGGAAGCAGATCAGAGTGAGCAGTAGGAGCTGTGACCACCGAACCACGATGTTGGAGTGATGTAGGAAGGAGCCATAAGCCGAGAAATGCAGGCAGCCTCTACTTGTTCGTGACAAAGACAGAACTAAAGATTGGTCCTTCTAACCCAGTTCTTTATTCTTTCCATTACATTATGTAGTTTCTATATGACATGATATGTTAAATCACGTATGTTTTTAAACAACAAAAATTCAGCCGAGTAAATTTGATGATCTAATTGACTCTATTCAATGAATTGAATAGACTCTATTCAATGATTCATGAATCGAGCAGCATCTCATCCAGCAGTAGAAAGGAGCTTCAAGCAGTTGTACAAAATGGAAAGTTTTTATAGGCAGAAGAGGGCGGGAAGAGGAAGTTATAAAAACAAAGAGCAGATTATTTCAGGCAAGGTCACCTTCCTTTAGGGGCAGGAATGGCAGGGGTCTTATCAGGCAGATTACCTACCTAAAAGAGTTGCTCAGGAAATTCCAAGACTGATTGGTTTAAAATTCCACTCCCGGAGGGGCTGGAATTGCAGTGAGGTTAGGTGTTAAGTGTTGGTTTGCTAACATGGGGCTTAACACAAGTAACTCCATTTTGGATCTTTTACTTCTTTTTAACAACATTATATATGTTAAATTATATTTTAATAAACTGTAAGCAGTTCTACAATATCTAAGTTGTACTGAAATTTTTTTTTTTAAAAAGATTTTATTTTTCCTTTTTCTCCCAAAGCCCCCCCGGTACACAGTTGTGTAGTTTTAGTTGTGGGTCCTTCTAGTGTGGCATGTGGGATGTCACCTCAGCATGGCTTGACAAGCAGTGCCATGTTGGCGCCCAGGACTTGAACTGGTGAATACCTGGGCCACCGAAGCAGAGAGCACGAACCTAACCACTCGGCCACGGGCCAGCCCCTGTACTGAAATTTTAACATGCTGATTTTGTTTATTCATCATCCATCCATCCACCCATCCAATGACCACATACTGAGTGCCCACCTTGTGCTAGTGTAAAGTCCTGAGGATACAGACATAAAAGATGCAGACTCTAGGCTCTGACCTCAAGGAGCTTGCCCTCTAGTGGCCAAAAATAGGAATAGGCAGCTATACATACATTGTATCAGTGTGAGTAGTACTGCTACAAGTTTATTTAGTAAATGAGGCCTGAGTTCGGTCTTAGAGAATGAATAGGAGTTAACCAGATGAGGGTGAAGCCTGCGGGGATGGAGGGGTTGTAGAGAGGATATTCTAGCCTGAGGTACCAGCTCTTGCAAAGTCATGAAGACATGACAGAACATGGTGTGCTAGGGAAACTATTGGCTGATTGTGATTGGTGTTTGGACAATGAGAGTGCTAGTAAAGGAGGAGGATGTTGAAGGGAAAGGCAAGGGTCAGCTCCTGGAAGGCCCCTGCATGCCTTGTTAAGAAGTTTGGAACTGATCCTGAAGACAATGAGGTTTCCTTGTAAGATTTAAACAGGGATAGCACGATCAGATATTTTTTTTTTAAAAAAATTGCTCTGAAGGTTGTGGAAGGGAGTTGAAACTGTGGAAAGGGAGAGAAGTTATGACGCTGTTGCAGTAATCTAGAATTGATAAATGCCTGAACTGAGGAAGTACTATTGGACATAAAGAAAGGTGCTGGGTCTAAGTGTTATAAAGGTGGTAGAATGTGTAGGTAGAAAGTGATTAATTGGATGCAGTGAAAGAGAGGACTATTCCTAAAACTCTGGCTTGTAATTTGTTCATTCATTCACTCATTGCAAATGGTTCTTGCTTGTTGGCTGCTTAAATCTATCATCTGCAGGGAAATATAGACATTTCCAATGATCTAGGGTTGCTTATAAGAGTATTTAACCAGAATAGCATTGTAAATTAATTTTCTCTTGTTTTGTGTAAAATATACAGAATAAAAATTGCCTACAAAAATATTTCAACTCCAGCTATTTTACCCCTTTGCCACATTGCTCACTCATAGACCATGTCCCTGACGCCAGCAGATGGTGGTTGTGTATATGGGAGATGCCAAACCATTTTAGTATTTTATTGATTGTTTGATGTATTTATAACTCCACCTGTTTCCAAAAAGAATTTGGAACAGCCTACAATCAAAACACAAATACAATAGGACTAAACACAATGGACACAAGGCAAAAGATTGATGGATAGTCTTGGTACTCCCATGCACAAGCAGCCACATGCTATATTCAACTTCCTAGCATCCATTTCTTTCTTCCACCCAGTAAGAGTACCCTAATTTTTATTCCACCCCTCCTCTACGCAGCTCTCGGGCTTCCAAGGAAGCTTACTCTAGCTCCTGAAGAATTTGAGGCTCAAACTCAGCAAAATCCACCCCCTATTGGTTCTGAGTGTGCATATTCCCTAAATTGGTCCAATTAAAGTAAAGCTGAGGGCTTTTGCTCAGAGGGTGAGGGACGCTTACCTGAAGCTTCTGGTAGTCCTCTTGAGATGTAAGGAGAAAGTCCATCTGAGGCTGGAGTCAACCTAGAGGAGGCCAAGCTGAGACATGGATTTTAATTACATCCTTTGAAACAGAAATCAAGCTGATTGGTTTTGAGAACCAAT